CCCCCAGATTTCAGCTCCCCCATGTTTCAGTGCCCCCTTTTTTCACCCTCCCATGTTTCAGACCCTCCTGTCTCAGACTGCTCCCCTTTTTCAGACACCCGCCCCCGCCGCTTTTCAGACCCCTCAAACTGCCCGTTTTCCAAGGGATGCTCTAAAACCTCTGGTAAGTAAATGTGCTTTTCCGACTGGGAAGTGCTGTGGACGCTGTGACTGCAGAGACTAAACGGGCGCCAACACAATGCCACTGATTTTGCCCCCTTTCCCCTCTCCCCAGCAAGCTCTTGGGAATGTGGAGTTCAGCTTTTTAATGGTTTCATTTTAATATGCTCATTAAGCAGGCGGTCCCAGGGCTGTGGTCACACACACTACAGAGCACTCTTGCTGCAAAGAACTATATGAATACTGAAGGCATTTAGTTTTACTTCTATATACTTGTGTTTCCGACGAGACCAAATCCCGTTACTTGGCATTTTTGGAGCAACCAGAGATTTTCTGCGGAGCTTTTCCTTTAAAACACGCCCCCCCTCCACTCCGTAGAGTTATCCTATAAACAAATTTTTCCTCATTTCCCTCGACTGCTGCAGAGCTTCTGCCATTTGGGAATGCTTTATCTTTTGGTCATAATAATTTGTTATTAATTAGTAACCTCTACTACTATTTTTAATCTCTGTTGCGTGTGTGAAATTATGAAACCAGGAGGATGTCATGCAGTTGTGCAACTCTCTGCAGTGTGGAGCTGAGGGCTGCCATCCTCCCATCACTCACACTTTCGCCCTCGAGGTCAGCATTAAACACAAACACCCCCTCCCCCCCCATTACTCCTTTAATTAAGATACCTTGTGAGGTTCCATGCTGATGGTGTTTAAATTGCAAAGTGGTGACTTGACAGAAGTGTATTAGGGCCAGCTTAAACACAATCTTATTTTTGATCCCCAAGGATTTTATTGTGGTCAAGGGAATAATTTGTGGACATCAGCAGCGGCACATCCTGCTTGTTTTAGGGAATGTTGTGCTAAAGGCTGTGATCACATTATTCTTATGGGATAGGAAAAGGCACACGTTATTTATTGATATATTTATGTATCTACATGCATAAACCACTGGCCGTGGTGACACACCTGAAGCAGAGGATGGCTCTTGGCAGCCTGATCCTGTGGCTGTGGCTATGCCCATGTCTTGCTCGGTCTTACCAAGCTTGAAAGGGGGATGTTTTGTCCCTGCATTCCGAGGTGTCCTAAGCCAAATGGATTAATGATGGCACTGTGGGGATGCCCAGTGGGTCAGGGTGCAGTGCATGGTACACACCACGCTGTAGATCAAGGGTCTGGCTTTGTACATTTTATATGGCCATCTTACATTGATTTTATTCTGTCTCACAGAGCTTTTCTTGATGCTGTTAGACAATAAAACTGTACTGAAAACTCTAGGCAAGTGAGATATTACATTTTAATAAGGTGCATAGGGAAATGTAAATCCAGAAAATGTGTCTAGGGTGTAGAATCAGCAACCTTAAGGGGAAAACTGAACTCCTTGTGTGCAGCCAAAGAATTACCCCTAAAATGACAGGACAAAGGTAACTGTGCTAGGATTTGGAGGACCTTGGAGACAGAGATAGCTGATAATTGTAATTGATAATTGTAATTAACCCATGTGTAAGCCAAGAAACGGGGTAAAACTTCAGCCTCTCCTTCAGAGAGGACATTTCTCCTCGGGAAGCAGCATTTTCTGCAGCTGGAAAATCAGCTAGCACAGTCCACCTTCCACCTGGCTCTGCACACAGTGCGACGAGCTCTTTTCAGTCTGATTTTACCTCAGGTGATTCTTCAGATTTCCAGGATGATGGAAAATGAGGGAGATAGGATAGTGTTGTTTTTCTGAAGGCTGCCCTTCCCCACTTGTTGCTTTGGGATTGTACCTGCTAAAGAACTTACATGTTGCAACGGGATTTTTTTCTTAAAAAGTAAAAGGATTTACTGTGGCAGGTTCACCACCAGGTGGGAGATTTTATGCATCAACTAAGTGCTCTTTTGGTTTCCAGCATATAAATCTCCTTTGCAAAAAACGAGTATTTTTGTTTCTGTCCCTTGAGGTCCCCTTCGGTGCAGGTGAAAGCATCCTGTGGAACACAGAACCTCTGTCACCCTCAGCACTTTCGCTGACGTTTCTGGAGGAAACGATTCCCCGAAGCCGTTCCTGTTTCTATTTTAGGTTTAACTGCATGTGAAAGGCTACGTAAATTCACACCTCTCCTAAGGGAAGGGTTCAGGACAAAGAACCCAATGAAAGCATTGACATGCTCCAGGAATGCCACCAAAAGAAGGGGACAGGGAGTGGCAGCAGGGAAAATGTTGCCCCCCAGCACTGGTGCTGCTCCATTTTGCACCGAGTCGTGAAAGCCCAGGTTTACAAGCACTGAATTTATCCTCAAGCCTTTTCAATACCTTTCAAGTATTTCCCCCTCCTTTGTGACTGCGGCGATCTCGTCCTGGTTTATGGTGCAGTGGTTTCCTGGCAGGAGAACCAGTCCTGTTTCTTCAGTCTGTGCTTTTCTCTTGCTCTCTCATTGCAAAAGGAGCTCAGTCTGAGGTTTGCTATCAGCATTTCCACATGCTGCACCCGGAGCAAGCACACTCCAAGGCTGATGGCTATGCAGATATCAGAGCGATTCTGGATGTTCAAAAATGTTCTGGAAAACAGAAGGAGCTTTGGAGGAAGCTGATGTCTTTAAACTCCTGTTTCTGCCTTCTGCTGATCAGGAATGTGTTAACAGAAGAGTTTGGTTATGTAGTGTTTGAGTTTTCTTGTGGTCACCCGCTGGTTTGTCTGATCAGGTAATTGGGCTGCACTTCTGTCCCTTCATTTCATGTCCTCCTGGAATGCTGTGGTCAGTGGGGTCCTGCTTTCATTGGCACCCCTGGGTTGGGCTGGAAACAAAAATACTCATAATCCAGTTTTAAATCGAGGGAGGTTCACTTATTCTTCCAGGAATATCACAGCAAAAAGGTGCCTCGTTTATGGAGTTTCCAGACCACTGCAATTTTGGAATTGCCTGGAAAACTAAACAAATCTGTTCCAGGCAAAAATTCATAGGAATTCAGAGGGTATGAGAGCTGGGAGCTGGACTGGGAAAACTACCATGGACAGGGATAAGGAATGCTCGTGCACAGGCTAGGGTTGCCTGCACTCACCTGCTCCAGGGACACAGGGAGCAGGAGGGTGAGGTGGGAGCTCAGGTCAGTGGGGTAACCGTGGACACTGATCATTGCATATGAAAATGGGAGTGTACCTTGTTATCCAAATCAGCTTGAACTGGGTTGTTTGTTTTGGGGTTTTTTTGCTCCTGGAATTATAAAACAAAACAAACAAACAAACAAACCAACCAAACCAAACCAAACCAAATCAACAAACAAAAAACTCAACAACAACAACAAAGTGTAAAAAAAAATAGGCAGATGGCATAAAAAGCTGTGACTGACTTAGGCAAGACCTGAGCAAGTTTGAGCCCCACTTTTTCCCCCCCTTTTCAGAGAAGCTTCTTTTTGCCCTCCAGCTGCCGAAAAAGACACACAAATCCACAGCTTGTGTTTTATTGGCAAACCAGTAAGAGTTTCGAGGAATGCTTTCCAATATGAAACATTGTATTTTT